ATTTACAACTAAATGAGTAAAATATTTAAATAATCGGTTAATAAAATACATCGCACTGAATTATTCATTTTTAGTCATGCACAGGGGAAAGCATAAAATGATTCTAATTTGTTTCCACCAATTAGAAATTAGAATAAAGACCTGGCACAGTCAAAACAAAGTTATTGTTAGCAACAGAGATTAGAATACTGAGAATAATTACAAGGAATACGTTGAAATCAAATAAGAAGCGACGAGATTTAAAGAAAATGGAATATATAGGGATAACAAGTGATTGGACTTGTTGAGGAATCGTGACAACATAATTAGATATACAAAGATCTTAAAGAATTTGATGAATAATTACCAATTTTGTCTCAAAATATAACTCTAATAGGGCTAAAGTTATAAATCTTACCCCTACGATCACAAGCGTTACCAAGCATAGAACTGCTAAATTACTGACATTGGTATTTTTATTATTATTATTATTATTATTATTACAGATACATTGGTATCTTTTACTAATAAGTATATAATGCAACTCCAACTGCAATTTGTTTGTGGTCTATACTGGAATTACTGAGTATAACAAAATGGGTGGGCAGTGGGTGTATTACACCCCCACTGCCGCAACGGATGTCTTATTTGACGTCCTCCACTCCTCCGTCTTGGCATTGAGTAAAACCAATACACGTTTTAAATAGATGATTATGGACAAGTAGTTTTACAAATGAACTAGATCAGACCAGCAGGGACTGAAATACTCCCCTTAGGGAGTAAGAATTTCTGTTTTCTGGGATCGATTGCAAGAGGCTGCTGAATCTGTGTTTAAACCTGATCAGCCTTCAGCCTTCACTGTGGTTTTCAAACTCCTTTTTTTTTGCCCCGGCGTGAGATATCCTCATCGGGGTCTTTCCGAACTCAATAAATATCAAAGATTTATTAATCCTCCGGATACAAATATCAGTACCGTATATAAATATAATAAATACTCAGCAGAAATAGTCTATGATCGTAAGTACAGTAGAATCTATTCCGACACTTCAATAATCTAACACTTCCAATAATCGGGCACCCTTCGCCCGCGCCTCACCATTCCCACGTATACCCATTCCTATGTAATAAAATACCGCGTATGTGCATATAAGTGCATAGTTACTTGCTGTTTCAAATGAGAATATTACAGTTAAAGATGCCAAGTGGATATTAGACAAGTTAGTGGAGAAAAGTTGTGCAAATTGGCAGAAGAATATGGAGTTGGGCATGCTACTATACACAATCTTAACAAACAAAAACAAAAGATAGTGGAGCACGTAAGGACGATGAAATTTGAATCAGAAGCGCGTGAAATATTAAAAAATGGTGAATCTCCAAAGATGGAAAACACTCTCTACAGGTGATTCGTGCAACAGCGGTCTAAGCATCTGGTGAAATTCTGAAACCAATTGATAAAAAAAATAGAGAGGAATATGATTTTTAAACCAATTTTGGGTGACTGGATAAATATAAAAAGCGATTTGTTATTTATGCCGTTTTCAAATGGTACTAGAACACAAAAATTGGATTTGTTAGTGATTGGTAAAATCCGAGACCGTTCAAAAGTATTTGTTTTTCAATCTGATCTTCTTCTTCTCGTGCCACTCCTAGCGGAGATTGGAAATCATCGTGGCCACTGCGACTTTGTTAGCAGCGCGCCTAAAAAGTTCAATCGAACTATACCCGAACCATGTTTCTTAAAAGTTCGTACTTTTCACCTCTCACAATGTGTCCCAAGTATTCCATCTTTCTAGTTTTTATCTCATTTAGAATTTCGCATCTTTTGTCTAAAGTTTGGAGTACTTGCGTGTTAGTGACGCGGTCCATCCATGATATTCTTAGAATGCGCCTATAGCACCACATCTCGAAAGCTTCGATGTTTTTTATGGTCAACTGTTTTAGTGTCCAAGCCTCAACTCCATATAATAGGGTAGAAAAGACATAACACCGCAGCATTCGTATTCGTAACTTTATATTGATATCACGATTGCAAAAGAGTTTGCGCATTCTATTAAAGACTGATCTAGCGATTTCTATTCTACATCTAATCTCTTTTGTTTGATCAGTATCGTCTGTGATCCAAGCACCTAGATATTTATAACAGGGCACACGCTCAATCGTTGTATTGTCTATTACAAGATTAGCTCTGATGTTCTTTGATTTCGTGATTACCATAAATTTAGTTTTTTTTCAAATTAATTTTCAAGCCGTAACTGTTACAGTATATATTGAGACTTTGAACGAGATGTTGTAGTTCTACTAGCGTTCCCGTTAGGAGAACTGTATCGTCAGCATACCTTATATTGTCAATCTGATACAAGAACTAATTTAAAATTTGGGTCACCAAAAAGATATTTATTTTGTGAATGGTTCCATAAAGACTTTGTCCAGAAGTGAAGAAGTTTTATGAAAAGGTCTAACTTGCTCATAAAAGCTGTACTTATTTTTGAAAATGCTCCAGACCACCCGAATGAACAAAAATAAAGATAAGTAATCTAATATCCAAACCACCTTTCTACGACCAGACTGCACACCTTTATTGCAGCAGACGGATCAAAATGTTATCCAAAAAGTAAAGTCCCTGTAGAAAACTAAATTTCTCATCCATACTATTTCTCAAAATGGTGACATAATGCAGAGCCTCAAAAAATTTAATTCAAAACATGTTCTTGTGTCATGTTCTTGAGCCTCTATTTCTCCCGCTTAATCCAATCATCATGGAAGAAGCTATGGCCTTTATTAAATGACGTACAACAAGAAAAAGAAAAATGTGATCCTGCATATTATTACTGATTACCTTATTACCGATTGTTTTTAAAATATCTCAAAAAAAGGATTCTAGACCAGTGAAGAAAATTTAAATTTTTGGATTAAAGTTACCGAAGAATCATAGCAAATTACGACAAATAAAGAAATACCCTGCTCAACAATTGATAAGGATCATTATTATTATTTCAAATACTTTAAGTTTGTTGGTGTCGTAGTGTTTTTTCGTTGGTCATAGTTCGAAAATATATATTTTTTAAATATAAATAATTAAAAGTAAAAATAAAATATTTTAACAATAAAAACAATTCATTGAAATAAAGTAACATAAAACTGTGTTTTATAAAAACCAAAATAACGACATAATCGGCATACGAAAAAAATCTAATAGTTTGTTGGACCTTCTCGTGAAGGATTATAACTTCTTACTCTATTAGGCATACACTCAACTAATTACTTAAAAAATTTTGATTCAAAGTTGTCCATATATGCTCACAGCTTCACTTAACTGTTGAAGTGTATTCACAACATTTAGTTGTCGTGTTTTAACGGCCCAGACATGTTCTATGCAGTTCATATCTGGTGACCGGGCTTCCAAATTCTTGCAAGGAGGGGACGGGCATTGTCGTCAATCAGACAAAACTTTCTCCGATTGCACCCGCAAATGGTACAATAATTGATTCTATAACCATATCTCTATATCTCTTGAGTCATCATCGTAGCATTTGTCAGAAACACTAAGTCCATCAAAACAAATACCACCCCAAACACAAATAGAGCCTCCCTAAAAGTAGTTACAGGCTCCCTATAATGTTCATTATACATCTCTTCTCGTTTCCTCCAAACCAAAATACGACAATCGGAATTGTTTATAAAAAATTTAGACTCATCATTAAATAAATATTTTCTTCATTCGTTGATTGTCTAGTTGTGGTGTTCTTCAGCCCATAGTCTTCTCAGTCCGCGATGGTTAGTACTGGATGAGATAAACATCTTTTTGCTCTTAAGCCAGTCATATGCAAACTTCTTCAAAGGTTTGGTTTGAGATTATTCTTCTAGTGGTGAAACGCAATGATCTGTTGACGCAATAATTTGCATATCGGTCATCAAACGGGTTAGTACTCCGTTGTCGCCTTCCACCATGAGCGTATGAGGCTACACTATTATTGTGAATATGTATTCCAAGCTCTATTTACAACAGTTTGTGAAAACTCCAAACGTTGAGTCACTTCATGTTACATTAACCCTTCGTTGATCCGCCACACAATCTGTTGCATTTGGAAAATATATAAACGTCTTCAAGCATAGTTTATAACTAATTAATAAAAATACTGCACTATTTAAAACAGCTGAACCCAAACTGTGTTACACAGTAACAACATTTAGGTTATTTCGTTTAAAATTCATAACAAAGTCAGGGCATTATTATTATTTTGATTATCCTAAATTTTTACAAACTCTATTTCTGGAGTAAAATATTACTTTCATCGTCATCATCAGTAGCTCGACAACCCTTTCTGGGTCCTGGCTTGTTGTATGATTTTCCGTCATTGTGTTCTGTTGCTTGCTCTGTTTTTTCAGTTGGTAATCTGAAGTGTTTTCAGATCAAAATAATACTTTGATCTTTATTAATTGTTGAGCACAATGTGAAGCAGTACAAAAAGAAGAAGAAAGCCTAGTAGAAATATTGGAGCCATCAACTACTACTACAACTGTAAAAGGAAAACCAGGTGCAGCATTTTAATTGTTTTAATACCTACATAGCATCATTAGAATTAGACTACTTAAATCGCATAAACATACCAACAATTCAGGTAAAATGGCACTATCCATCGCTGATCAAGGTTAGTCAGATTAGATCCAATAATCGAAAGTTTTGTTAAAAAATAAGTATATAAGTTATTCTAATTATAAAACATATATCACCAAGAGAAATATGTGATCGTCTTAATCAATCATCCTTTATAATCCCTCTTTTCTTTTGAATTTGCGTTGAGGCAACATCTATGTAAGGATAATAGTGTAGGCTGTATTTAAAAAAATGACAATCAAAGGAGCATATTTTGGTCAGTACCATGCGGTTTCCTGGCAATATTTACAGAATCTTTGTGACATTCGCTGGCAATTCACCCGTTGCATCAGATTATAGTCTAAGTACGCTCTAAACCTAGAGGGTTGATGGAACGTCAAATCTTGAATGATAAATATATACTTACTTGTTTTTGAGCGAGGTTCTCTGGGTCCGTCTACGGTAACTTTTATGGCTTTGTTGTAAGTTGCCACTTGGGGTGGACTTGTTGAGATTGTAATCGTAATGGAAAACGATTTCCCTGAAAAGTAAAGAAAAAAATGGTATACAAGAATTCCTAAAATGATTGTGTTTTATAAAAGAGCAAATATAAAAGGTTTCATTAAACTAAGACTTAGTGATATCATATTTTAAGTTATAAGATTTTCTAATTTTTATTATGGAAATTAATTTAATGACTAATGGTTATTAGAATTGAAGATACGTTCATATTTTATTCAAGAAAAACGGTCTGATCCAAATCAAACATTTTACTCACACCAAAAATTCATTTTTTATTTACTTTTCTTAATTATAGTCCATTTCCATCATATTGATAGCACATTATGTCTGCAAATCCCTAAACTGTTGATACGGGTGACTCAATGAAAAATAGATATTTGTCAACAAGTTTACAGAAGTATATAGGAAAACATAAACACAAACAATACACCAGGTATAAAGGTTGAAGCAAATAGAATACAATAGTTTTGAGGGTAACTAATCCCTAAATAAAGTTGCCAGTGTCGGAGTGATGGAGATTAACAGGTACTAATAAATTTGCAAGAAATGTAAGATGTTTATTTTATTGGTTATATATAAAATAATTTATGGCCGTAACAGGGGCCGATTTGTAAAAAAATGAATATTATTTTAATCAAATTCCATTTCAGATTCACTGCTTTCTTCAGAATCTAAGGAATCTTCAACTCCAATGTTAATTATTACCAGTTCCAGCATTGCATGAGTCATATTATCCAAATTCCACATTTTATTTTCTTTCTTGTGAGCATGACTAACAGCATTTTTCCAATTTTCTGGAGTTACTTTTGATAAGGAATATTGTAATAATTGTTGTAAGTCTTCTAATTTAAAAGTTTTGTTGTTGCATCCGACTTCACCCTTTACTTGAGACTATATATTTTCTATCGGATTCAGATCACAGTGGTACGGGGGTAAACGTAAAATAATTACATCACGGTTTAATGTCATTTCATCAATTATATATTTTTTATAAGCTGCTTTATGTTGCCTTACAATAGGTAATAATTCCTTTTTTTGTCGAATTCTCCTTGTACTCAATTGCGTGTTTATCCAACCATTCGATTATCTTTCCCTTTTTCCATGCCGTTGTTGGCAATTTTTCTGCTAGTCTTGAATGGTAACTAGCATTATCCATGACTATGACAGAATTTTTGGAATTAAATTCAACATTCAACATTGATAAAACCATATTCATTTCCAATATGGGTTATTATGAGTCTGCGTCCTTTTCCAACGGGAATATTGTTTATTCCAGTAGATACACCTTCGATGAATGCCTGACGGGAAGTTTTCACATTTGTATCAACCCATAGATATGGTACAGTATGACCTTCATTTAGCCAAGTCTCGTCCAAATAAAAAATTGTTTTCCCTTCTTCTCGGTACTTTTTAATAGTTCTTAGATAATCTCGTCTCCAACATACAATGTAATCTTTTTCAATTAAAACGGATTTTCTTCTATTCTTTTGCCAACAAATCCCATCTCTCTTAATAGTCCCCATGATTTCTTGTTGCTTATGATTGGTAACTCTTCGTTTTCTCCAATTAATGTTTGAATTTTGTCCAATGTTGAAAATTCCTTGTTAAAAAAAAATGAGTGGCCGCTGCGTCTCATCATGTTTTTATGTATATCTTCAATTTCCAAGGATTTACTCCCTCCACTTTTCTTGGGAGATGAAACAGTTCCTCCTTTTCTTTCTTTTAGGAATCTATAAATTGTTGCTTCTTCAACCGCTGTCATATTTGAACACATGTTAACGATTTCACGAATATTACTTAAAGGGAGTTGATGTACAAGTGCATCGTGTACATTTAATATTATATTTTTCTCTCTTAGACTGAAGGCATCTTTAAAACTACACTTAATCGGGATAAAACCTGTTGTCGACGTCATTTTTAAATGCAAATAACAAAATATCGACACCAAAAACGAATGTAGGTAAGACATGAACAATGTACATCTACAAACTAAATGGAAGATGCAAACAATTTCTAATTTATATTATTGGCATAAGCTGTAATATGGCATAAAAACTACTTAAACTATCATTAGTGAAGCCTTATCAGTAATTCCAGGTAATCGTTCAAAGAAGGTATTGTTTTTGTGTCAGACGATAACTTGTATAGAAAACAATAATCATCTTTAAATTATTGTTTACATTAATTTATTTCGTGAAACATTGAATTATTTCGTTAATCACCCGTGTATAACTAACAATAATCGTGTGGCATATATACCGACGTTTTTTACGCATAAAAAAGGTATAGTGAGATTAGTGGATACTTATTTTACAGAAGATTTTTTAAAAGATAATGAATTGTTGACGGCATCTTAAAATATTAATTTTTTTTATTTATTTCAAAACAAGTATAGGGTGACGCCTATGGTTTTTTGACCTGTTGAGGATTTGTATACATAATGTGCTATCAATATGATGGAAAAGGACTATAGACGCTTGTTGTCGTGATCAGCTAAAGATCCCCGCTCATAGAGTTTACAGAATCTAGAGTGCATATCAATGCAAACCTGTATAATGAAACTGTGTACAAGCTTTATCAAGCAATAAGACGAATATGTCCAGGGAAACTTTCACGTAGTGTCCTTTTTCAGCTAAACAATACTCGGCCTTATCTTTCCAAAGTAGTTAAAAAGAATCTAGAAAGAAAAAAAAGTGGGGCATCCAGTCTATAGTTCCGATTTATTGCCTTGCGATTTTCACATTTTTGAGAGAGCAAATTTTAAATTTCCTACAGTTAATACAAAATGCATATAACTTTATTTTTAAGGCGTATTTATGCTAAGATTACACTATAGCGTTCGATTGCGTTAAATGGTGAAGGCAATGGTTGGCCTAGGAAAATATGAGGATACTAAAACATCTAGTTTTTTTTCTTCAAAACCTATATGAAGATTGTTTCAAAAATGTAAAGTGCTCGTTCTAAACCATGACAATGCCATTTTAAAACCATGTAGACAGAAATATGATGTAATAAAATTATTCTGCATTAGGTGGTGTATTGTATCACCAATATTGCGAATATCTAGCAACAGTTTAATTTTCAAGCAACTAATGTTCAACATAAGACTGTCAACAAAAATAAATTATTCCTGCCTCACATACTTCAGACATATAATGCGAAGAACAGAAGACCTTGAAAAATTATCGTGGAGCGTAATATCAATGGCAAATGACCCCAAGGAAAGTCTCGCCTCTAACTCAATCTACTCATTGTGGGTCAAGCCAGAGGAATTATTATCCATGGTCTACATAAAGTAGACTCCCTTGCAGCCCAAGACAGAGAAGAATGAAAATCCACAATCCGAGTGATCGAGACATAAGACCACTACACTTTTTCGAGACTCAATGTTTAAAAAAAGAAGATTAATATAATTTCAATTGGTAAACAGAATACTAAATATTCCAGTCGTAACGTTGGATTATTATAAAGTTCTCTGGTAGTGCATTTAGTAATGTTATACTTATTTTTAATGTTGTTTACATTTTTTTAGTCGGCCAGACAGCTAAGCTGGCCACGTGGACCAATCCCATTCATGAATGATCTAGTGGATCGATGGAAGTTGGAACTAATAAAGGCTGAGTAGAATAGGCTTGTGTATCCTTAGATCCCTAGGAGCGTCTGCTCTTAAAAAACCGGAATATAGATAGTATATGTTTTAGTACTTGTCTACATATATCAATTATTGGATCACAACATATTACTTCTTTAATTTTTTCAATATGATGATAGGGTCAAGAAGGTAAATTTTTTTTTTTTGTTATTTTCTTCTAGTTGTTGTTACTTGTTCCTCTACTTCATGTAATACGCAGGCTTATTTAAACTTTTAAATACTCTACACTTACTAAAATTCATTTTGTGAAGTTTGTTTTTCTTCTTTACGTTCCGTGTCCTAGCGGAGGAATAATATTTCTATTCCATATAGCAATATAAGTGTTTTGTTCTCAATTGCTGTAAAAGATCCCCGGCTTCAAAGGAACTTTCTCATTTTATTCAAAATATTTTAGCCCATTGGATTCTTGTTCTTATCTTTCATGTGTGATCATTTTTATGTGTTATCCAAGTTCTCAAATATGTATAGTTTTCTACTTTGAATGTATATTTGGTTTTTGTTGTCATTACCATGTACTGGTCCTTTTAATATTAATTTTAAGCCAATCAGTTTTGTAGAAATTGGTTGAAAGCTTTACTAATCTAAAGATTATTTTATATGGAATTAAACCACAATTGATTGTAATGAGAATTACATTTACAAAAACTTAAAATGAAGTAAAAAATTTTTCTTGTAAAATGATATATTTTTTTTTAACTTTTTAAAATGGATTTATAGATGTTTGGCACGCAACAAATTTGTTTGGCACCCAACACCAATTTATGGACATTAACAGGTTAAATCTAAAAATTTTTGAATTAAAAAAAATATTTTTGAAAACGATTTCTGGAATGGAAATCGAAACATCAAAAACAATGTAAAATAATATTCTCATTACAATTAATTGTAGCTTATGCCATATAAAATATCCACTGATCCAAAATTATTGTGATCATAGTGGGCTCTGAAGGACAGAGATAGCTATTAAGCTCATATCTATCATTAATTCAGATGTACGAGTCAGTTTAGGTCAACTTGGACTTTTTAAGGTTTAGTAAACAAAATTATTATTAAAAATGGTTTTCATGAATAAACAAAAGCGATCTATGTTTGAAATGGCCAAAGAATTAACTGAGAATAGGTTTACTACAACCGAGATGCTTTTGAAGACTTTGTTGAAGAATCTCCCAATTTACATTATGACGGCTTTTGCAGAACTATGCGTCGCATTGTAGATGTTTATAGAGAAACGGGAAGCGTAACTCACAAGCCAGGGGCAGGCAGGCCTAAAGTGTGAACTAAAGAACACGTCGAACTGGTCAGAACAGTTATTCTAGATAAACCACATACATCAATTCGGCATTTACATCAACAGATAGATATTTCAC